AACTTACAAAATTAACCTAAAGTTCAAAGTAACATTTTTAAATAAAAAGCTTCCATATATTAAAAGATGACAAATAATATGAATGACAAAATTAAATTAAAATTCGGGCTCTCTTCATGGTCCGCCGTCTGAGAGTGAATCCTTTAAGTTAGATGCTTTTTATGCCTAATTGAAATTTAGTTATATCTTCAAAAAATTGAAAATATCAAAGGGTAGATTTTTTCAATTTTTAATATTTAAATTTCATGTTAAAGTTTTAAGAGAATTTTGTTAATTAATTAAGATACGAAGGGTAAGAAAATTCGTGTGTCCGTACAGTGCATCAAGATAGTATTATCTTGAATTATTATAAAATAATACTTTCAAAATTAAGGAAGTCATTTTTCGAATTATCAGCGCGATAAAACATCCCTGAATCTTGATTTTGGTAGAGACTAAACTCGCAGAGGAATCGACTACTCCGCTCCGTCTGATCATGGCGTTCTTATTCTACTGCCCTCTTTATTCTTTGTTACTGCGGAAAGGCAGGAGCTCATAAGGCTACCGCAAACGATAAAGCGATTTCTTCCCTTCCGACTTCCTGTGAACACCCTGGATGCATTTCATAGGATCCTGATAAAAAATTCTTAACAACGGCGCCAATGGCAAAAATGTTGCCTTCAGTTCGATAGACGTACAATATACAAATTCCATCTTCCAATTCTATACATATTAAATTTCAAAATATTCTTTTAGAAAGACAATCTAAGAATTGCCAATTATCATCTGATATTTTATTATAAATTTGCAATTCGTTTTGTTTGTTTTGTTTTATGGAAAATGAAGAAATGGAAGGTGAGGGCGATAGGTCTGTATCGCACGGCCCTGAGAAAGGGGTAAGCGTCGAGACGCCGACGCGACATGATAGGCGCCTGGTGCGGCGCCAGCTCGTCTCTCGACCTGCGTAACCACGGACGCACAGGTGTGCCGACGCTTCCTTCGCCCCGCAGGACGTCGTTTCGACGCGCCAGGACGTCGCGACGCGGTTACTTGACGAGCGATGTCGCGGACCGTTTGAAGAGTACGACGTGTCGATGATCTCGATGAAAGCTGCCCACCTGTCGCTCACTGCTTGTCGCGGCTCGGTCACGATGAGCTTCGCGAGCCGGCTAACAGAAACGCGATAGAGCTTGGTGAACCGGCGTCGCGACGCTCGACAACGTCCACGTGGGACGGGACGTTTCATGGCGCCAGTCCTCGCGCGTCGCGACGCTGTATTAGGACAGCAGATTTCCAAGGGTATCGAACGAGGCTTGAATCGAGAGTATTGATTGATTGACATTAATATTTGTGAAAATAAAAATGTTCATTTGTTCTTATTTTGTGGATTTTGTTATTAAATTGATTCAATGTTTTGTAAGAAAATATCTGGTACAATAAATTAATTTTTTATATATTTTTCGAATGAGTGAAATTTATTCAAAACAACATAATTATGTTCTAAATTTGTTAATTTAAGAAATAGTTTTCTAACCCTGAAAAGGACTATATGTATCCCCTGAATGTGAATGTTTATGAATAAAAAGAATATTTTAAAATAATGTAAAATAAATCAATTATTAAGAGAATTAAAATTAATATTGAACAGTAATTAGTTTCAGAGAAATCAGCAGAATAAATAAACAAAAGACAGTAATGCAATAAACATTTCGTCAGTGAAAAATTCCATTATAATTCCAGTCAATAAATAATTTCTTAATTAAATAATTGTCTCTAATTATGTCTCTAATTAATGGAGCAAACTAATACTAAAATAAGTAGATAATTTATGATTGAAAATTCCAATAACATCGACCACTAGCAATTAATTCCCCGAATAAATAATTGGCTCCGAATCAGACCATCGAACAAATCAATACCCAATAGCAATCAGCTTCAATTATCAAAATAAATAATCCAATAAATGCGATAAATATTTCACCCCTCAAAATTCAATTAGCAACCACTGGTAATTAAATCCACAAATAAATACCATCGAGCATAAAATTGTTATCTGAACTGAAAAGCAAAGCAAACATCTGTTGCCGCAACCCCTATACACACCCCACTCTCTCAAATCCTCAAATAAAAGCAGAAAAAAACTGAATCAATCCGTCCCGATCGAACAGGAAAAAAAAGGCAGGATGAAAAATAAATAATAAAAACAAAATAATCACCGATATCCTGGAACCACCCTAAATCTTCCTGAGAGATGATCGAAGAAATTCATTCGGAGAAAGCGCCCCTGAGAAAGCTCAGCGGCGCCCTAGCCTCGCGACGCTTTATCCGGCGAGCATAAATGGAAGCGACGCCCCGCGTCTGCTTCGACGACGTCTGACAAAGCTGCCCGTCAAACGGAAGACGTCGTCTGACGTACCACGGGAACAGGGTAACACGCGGTGAACGGAGCTCGTGGGAGCTTTTCATCGAGCTTTCCACGTTCTGGGAAAGTTTCCGCGAGGTGATCGCGAGCGGAGAAACAGACGAGGCGAAGCGTACGTTCAGAGGCCGCGCCGCGACGTCCACCACGGCCAGGAGACCAACAGCCCTCGGAAGGATCGCGACGTCTCCTACGAGCGTCGCGACGAGCGTCGTTGCGACGAGGAATCGCGACAGGAAAGCATACCGATGGTGGAGGTGTTCGGCGTCGCGACGCCTCGGGGTTAATTTTAGCTACGGATCGATGCGAGGGTGGCGGAATACGGGAACGCCCATGTTTCACGCGAGTGCGCGTACAGGCTACGATTCAATGGCGATTCTGATTAAATTCAGTAGCTGATACAAGAAATAATTTAGAAATTGAAATTATTTTTTAATTGAAAATAAATTAGTATCGAATAGATATGATAAAAATTGTCCCTACAAATTGCTGCGACAAAGAGTTACATGTTGTAAAATTATTGTGGAATGGTATCGTTTATTTTTAATTAACATCTTCGTTAATTAAATGAATAATATATGCAAGAAATTTTTGATTGGAATGAAATGAATAGAATTTCACAGTTGGATTAAATAATGAATTATTAAAAGAATTTTGGTTCTTATCGATCAAGTTTTCTTCTGTCTGACCATTTACCGTGTTATCCACTTCAAAAGTTAGGAGAGCTTTCCACCTTCACTATTTTACTAGGGACGCATAACCAGACCTAACTTCGAGATAAATGTCTCCAGGAAGTTGCGAGCTTTCTGAGCTTGCGGTCGGTAAGCGTCGCGACGCCGTAGCAGGGAAGCATATACACTAGGTGGGCAAGGGTGATGAGGGAAATATTGATTCGTCTGCTTTTCACCAGAACAGTATTACCACCTATTACACTTCAGTTAATTCAAGGTAATCTATCTCGAAATCAAAAAACCATTAATTTAAAATAAAATTTAAAAATAATTTATAAAAAAATATAATTTTTAAATAGTATACAGAAATATGAATAATAAATGAATATCAATTAAAATTTTATGTGCAAATGATGGGAGGTCACTGACATATGTATGGGGCCTTTTCCCTTACATTGTCATTTTCCCCAGGGATGCCTATGGGGAAGGACGAGAACCCTGGGCATCGCCATTTTTCTGGGGAAGCCTGATTTAATCGCGGGTGTACATTCCAAGTGAAAAGCATTTGATCAGTAACTTACGTTCTCAAGTAACAGGGGAACACGAAAAATAGAAACATTTAGGTTTCAACCCTTATATAACAAGAGATAGAAATCAATTGTTTCGTACTACAAGAAGTATGAATCATCAAAAATATGAAAGATATTAATTTTTTAAATTAAAAATTCCATTTACTATTTCGAATTATTAATGAATTTACACCTGAGCCACTCATTTGCCAAATCAATTAACTACAATAAAAAAAAGGTAGGGAAATTCATAAAATAAACAAAGTTAGGCATCAATCAAGTGTTTCGCATTAAAATTGTTAAAAAATTCAATAAATGAAGTTAATTACTTTAGCCTGTAAACGGCTTAATTACTGGTATTTAAAATAATCTTTTTAATTATTTTTGACAAACTTTTAAATCGTACTATTCATCATACGTTACATAAAACTGTTTCAAATGACCAACAAATGACCTGAACCACTTTTCAGAGTGTTTTAACGATCGCACGACAAAGGGAACCGTGACCGGAAATTGCTTCGATCGGAAGTTTAGTCTTCTAAAAGCTCGACGCGCCCAGTATTAGCGTGCTAAATTGACACGCTTATTTCACTTCTATTTCTATCGACTTACTATTCACACGACATCCGGTATTTAAATTCAAAGTAGGTAGTTCAAGTGGATAGTGACTAACGCAGTGGAAATAGACGTATAAAGTCAGACAAAAGAAATTTTAATTATTACTTTTTAAATTTAGGATTTTAATTTTCTAATATCATAGTGATGCTATCTAAAAATAATTAACATTTATCTTCTTTTTTTATTTTGATGCTTAAAACAGGAACTTGAATCGTGAGACAAGATCATTTATTTTTTTCGAGATATATTGAACTGAGAGAAATAAAAAAAAAAAAAACAGCTTGTATCTCGTTCCGTATTTTCAGCGTGGCTGCTAATTAATGACATCATTAATCATCTTAACGCTCGCTAATTTGCCAGTCTCACAAAGTATAAAGGAACATGTTGGCTACTTTATATGCAGTAAGAACCGTAGCTAATTTACGCCAAGCTTCGTGATAAAGAGATATTTAAGAACCTGACTCTATGGTTTTTGAACAGCTGAAGGGAAAACGTGTTCCAGAAATATTAGCGAGAGTTGGTAATTAACCTTTTTCAAGAACATAATCGATCACCTTGATTTTTCGGTGAAAATTAATCCTTGGAATATCAAAGGAATACTTTCCATCCGGACGAAACGAAATTTTAATTATTATCAATTTTGACAAAATTCTAAATAAATCATTGCCATGCACATAGTTGATTGTATAAAGTATGAAAAACAATTGCTCATTTTTATAAACATTTAGGAAATTCTTGACTCACCCCCTTTAACAGCACTGGTGGCGGTTCACCATTCTCCTGCAACAAAAAAATAATTATTAATTAATATTACAATCCTATATGAGCAATAAATATCAAATTTACATAACTTTCATGTTTTTGAAAATGTATCTCTTGAATTTAATTAACCCTTTCTAAAATAAAATTCTGAAATTTCTACAAGTATATCACAAGTAATAAAATACTTTGAAATAGAAATTAAATAATTTTCGTTCAATAAATGTGCCTATGGAAGATAAGAACATGTTCAATACGGGTAACTATCATTGCACCTGCTATACCTGTACCACCATAAATTTTGTGATGGGATTTGCGTGTACCCATATTAACGTTTATGCCATAATCTTGCGAAGGCTTATACAAGCTTCGCACGCATATCACACGATATCTTTATTTTATAGACTCGTTCGTGTACCATGAACGTTTATTTTGTTTAGGTGCCCCATGTGTTTCGAATTTATAATCATAGAGGAGCTAATAAAGGAAGCCAGTGACATGTTAATAAATCAGCAAACTTATGAATTATTAAATTTATAAAATCAATAAAAAATTAAGAAAAAAGAAGGAAGAGAAGCCTCAAGATTAAATGCAAAGAAAGTGAATGCTGACACTGATTAAATAAAATAACAAATGCGAAGCTGAAAATAATTCTCCCCTGTCTAATTTATAAGAAGCATATAATATAGAATAGAATTTTAATTAAATTTTGATTGAAAATCAATCGATCAAATTGAAAAATGTTCAATACAATATAGTATGCGTTCCAAATATTCTTTTCTTCAAGATCTCGCATACTCTCTCGATTTCTTCTCTTTTCTCTTTTGGCTGGTTACCGTGGAACGATATTCACGTCCCCAGAGTCCGGGGGCTGCTTTTTCCTTTTAATTGTGCAAATTCGCCTCGTACGAGAGAGCCGTTGTGCCCATAAATTTAGTAAAAAGGAAAAGAACCGCATGGCTCCGGTGTAACACGCGCCTCGGGAATTATCGCAACTCGAAACGCGCTGTTGCACATTTTTTATCCAAGTCCTTTTTAAGTCTCGTCCTCGCTGCTGGCGAATTTCGCTCCCGTATCCTGGTCATTGTTTCTCCTCCAGGCGTTCTGTTAACTTTTATGGCATCTTCGCCGCTTTCCGATCCATCTTCGGACAGCCAGATCCTTTTTCGTCGCTGCACATTTACTTAATCATCGATCCGATGCATCGATACCAACGATGCTCGATTATTATATAAGTTTCTTCGAGATATTGAAATTAGATATGGTAGGTCTTGATATTCTGATAATTTCTATAATAGAGACTTGCAAATTGGGGTAGAAATTTAAATCAGGTGATAATTTATATGATAAAGTAATTACTTTTTAATTTATCCAAATGAAAACTCATTTTTACTCGTCAATTAGATGAAACGATATTCAACTCTCGGATGACGGACCATGGAGAGAGGCCGAATTTAGAGAACGAAGATTAATCGAACTATCCATAAGGATATCGAAAATGACAAATCTGATTAATTAAAAATATCAATCATCATTAAATTATAATCTTCGTCGAATTGTTTTGATGAAGCCGGAGGGCATCGAAAGTACAGAAGGACGTGCCAGGTAATTACGATGAAAATGACGAGGATCACGTTAGCGGGTTACCACGCGTCGTGGTCCACGGAAATAATGACGAGCAGGATAATGATGATGAACGCGACGGAAAGAGAAAGGCAGTCGAGCAAAGCAGGGACGAGGCCAAAGCCCTGGTCAAACAGTTTCAAAGTCGAACAAATCGAAAGAAAAGTGGAGGGCAATAGAACGCGAGCCGGGCCGAGGGAGCAGAAAAAGGAGGGGAACAAAGGAACACGGGGGGCCCTGAAAGGACCCAAGTGACCAGCCAATCCCGTCTAAGCAACGATCATCGGAGGTGTGGTAAAACGGCAAGGCCCGAACCTCTCTTCTTTCGTTTCGACCAATCGCAACCTCGCTTCGATGGGGCCCCAATTGCGTCGTCTCTTTCACGAGGGATCACAATAGTTTGCTGGCAAATAAGACTGCCATTCTGATGGGATCGCTTGTAAACCTTCCTCGTCCTCGATTTCAACCACAGAACGTTTTCGTCGACAAATATGATTTAACCCTTTGCAATGGAATTTTTTTTAACAACATCTGAACATAATTTTTCCAATATATCAATACCATTGTAATTTGGGTCATTACCGACTCGAGCTATCAGGACGAGGTAAAATATTAAGATACGAAAAAGAAAAAAGAAATCAGCCTTTGGGAAACTTTCGTTTAAAAACACGCCGCGAAAGCCGTCTCCCTTTCTCCCCATTTAAAAGGGCCTTAATTTTCCTACAGAGAGGGCTCCTTGTACATCTGTGAACACAATTTACTCTATCTCTCTCTCTGTTCCTCCTTCACTCCCCTTCTTCCATTCACCGTTTTACATTATGCACTTTACGCAGGTCTGCTGCACCTGTACACCACGAGCTCCCCCCCTCGGAACGCACAATGCCACTTGTCATGGCGTACAACCCTCGCGTGGGGTTGACGAACGACAATAGGGGTGATGCGGGATTCCTGTACTGATTTCGACCCATCGTCCAAGGGGGAACACTAACCATGGACAATGGAATGCCTGAATACGTGGCTTGTAGTGATTTTGTTGGTCGAACGGAATGGAAAGGGGGACCATTACTGATGGAAATTAAATTTTTGTTACTTCCTTTTTTCAAGCTGACGTGAAAGTTCCCATCGACCATATGGAAAAATAAATAACTGTATATTTATATATTTAGGTCGATTAATTAGGAATTATTGTGTTCGATGTTAGGCCTTGCATCGATGTTCATTGTTCGTTGCAATCCACAACTACTCATCTTGTATTAAGAATATTAACAGAGGGTTTATACAGTCTTTTTTGTGAAGTTTTAAGCTTTAAATTCATGTACCATAAGTGCCATTTCGAGATACTTTTCTGTTATGAAATTGTACTTGACTTCGTACACTCATAAATCAACTATTTGATATGTAAGAACGATTCCAGACGAGTTAATTCGTCCGGTTTGTTTTCAAACGAATTTATTATTGAAATAAGATGACGAAAAAATGATTGTCCCTGTTTCCATCCGCAAGGATCCGGATTCGAATATCGGTCCCATTGGTGGTTGTACGTCAAACAAAACGATCGTTCGACCGCGACCAGACGTCGTCAAAGTATTGGATTTCTTCGACGAAAGAACCCGTCAGAATTCCTAACCAGACATCCCTGTGCGTCGAGGTGTTCGTTTTCTTCGTTCCACTTTGCTCGTTGTGCCCTTTTATTTCTCTCGGTTCGCGTGTTCCCCACCGTCCTCCTTTTTCCCTCCTCCCTTGCAATCCGTTTTAACGAAACGAACCTAACTGCCGAGTTGTTCGCAGAAATGGATGCGAGTGATAATTGATCATTTTCCGGGGAAGTGTCTTTATAAACGAGAAAATTCTACCTTATTGATTTATAACACGATCACTGGCGAAGGGATGATTCTCGGTGGTAAAAAGTTTCTATAGGATTCCGATGGCATGGAATTATATTTCTGAAAGTGACAGCATAATCCGGGAGAAATTATAGTGATCTGTAGATAAATATCAATGGCACCGGGGTGAAATTATGTTCCTGACAATTTCATGGACAGTTGATGACTATCATTTGACCAGCATGTAAATTTAAATATTTCACCGATTAGGGTAACGTATATAATGATTGATCCTTGCTCTAAAAAAGTAAGAAATATAATATACGTAACGCGTTTATTAACCCTCTGACGGCGGACCATGGAGAGACCCCCAAGACGACGCGTCGCGGCGGACCATGGAGAGAGCCACGATTCTATAATTTAATTCTCTGTATATAATAACCATATGCATAACCATTTGAATAATTTCATTAATTTATCGTTGTAGAAAGAAAAGAGCGTCCATCGGCCAAGTGTCCTCCATTTAAGCGGAGCTCCGTGGTTACTCTTCAGGGTGCGTATCTCGGTCCGAAAATATCTAAAAATAAATAAGCGTGCCCGTTTCCCCCTCGTAGCCCGTGGTGCACACGTGTGCCGGCGTTGACGAGAGGGTCGAACGGGCCAGAGGGGGAGAGAATCGTTGCTGAAGACGAAGCAGCAAAAGGAGGTGGAGGAGTGAAGGGAGAGAGAAAAGAGGACTCGAAGAGAGAAACGAAGGGGAAGGAGAGGTGAGGGAAGCACGAACAGAGGAAAGATGAGGCGAACGTGAGTCTCGGCGTGGGAATAAGCGGCAGGTGCGCGACGGCGCTACCGGGGAGCCACTTGTGGGGGCAAAGTCCCCCCTCGATGACCCCCTCTGTGGCACGGAAAGCCACGGCACCGAGAGACACAGAGGGAACCCCACCATCTACACCTTCCCTTCCTATAGTAATCAAAAAGTATTGCACGTGTAAAATCGATCCGTATGCTCGACAGGCATCGCGGTCGATCCACTTCGCACCCCTCCTGGCCCTTCTTCGACAAATCGAATTTCTTCTGTGCCTCGTATCGTCATTCTCTTATGTTTCTTCCTGCTTTTTAACCGGACAACTACTTTCAAAGATGGGCCCCGGCGAACGGGTTGAGGGATCATTATTCGGGTGGCACCGATGGGTGGGGAGGGTTGATAGAAAGACATGGCTGTCCGGATGATGGAACTCGAACATCCAAAGCGTATTGGAAACGGGGAAGCTGGTTAAGAGAATTAATGGCTTTTCGGGTAAGGATGATGGTACCCGGTGAGACATGATGGAAGATGAAAAATGGAGGATTATTAACCCTTTCGCTGAAGAGGATACGTACATTCTCGTGTTAAATTGCTATCGTTAAGATACCATTGTTTTATACACATAAATAAGAATTTATAGTTGAAAGAAATGAATTTTAATTACAAATTTCAACTAATAATTCTATTTCATTTTTTTAAAGATAAATTATTAAGATAATTTATTAGAAATTTACAAGGGAAATAAATAGTGTAATAATATTTTCAGTATT